CCCCAAAACCCCAAAACCCCAAAACCCCTAAATTCCCCAAAATTGATCCAAACAGTCTTAAAGAGCTTTAAAATTTCCATTCTCTGCCAAATCGTTCCACTCCTGGAACAGTCTGTATCAGTCTGTATACCTATACGGTCATTTTCCTCTGTTTGGTGCTTAATTTAGAAGGAATTTTAAGAAGTTAGACGAAAATTTTGGGAAGAAAGTTAAAAAGTGAAAGATTGAGGGGCATACTTCTTCTTTTCTTCCTTGGAAACTTTGGATGGGTTGTACTAGAGGTGAGGTAGGGGTGTACTGATGGAGTGAAGGAAGTGTAGATTTTGGAGAAGATGCTATCGAGGATAGGGCAGTTTTGGGAAAAGTCTGTTGGTTCTGGGCAGATAATGGGGCTGTATTCAATTTTGGAGGCATTTTTAGGGCGTTTAGGCTTGTTTTTAGCAAATTTTGGGCCTGGTTTGGTAAAGGGTTGGTGTTTTATAATTTCTTGAGGGGGTTTGAGGTGAGTTTTTAGGGATTTTCTGAAATTCATAGAAAGAGTTTTGGGATCATGAGGTGCTTTAAGAAGACTTTGATTGTTCTTTAATGGAATAGCATCATCGAATGAGGAATAAATTGATTGCTTAACATTCATTTTAATCCCATTACGAGTGTGATAAAGTTCTTTTCCAAATTTATTTTGGTTCATGCAATCTTTGAGGTTTTTTATAATTCTAAAGAAATAATTGAGAAAAAGGAAGGTGTAATAATTACCACAAAATGTTGTTGGTTGTTGAACTGTGATCTTAAATTGCTATTCGTATTTAGTTTAGCATCATCTCTATAAAATATAAAAGAAGATTACACAGAAATATTGCTAAACTTTCTCCTTTTCTTTACTTTTATTGATGAATTAATGTTTCCAAAATCAAAGCTGCCTTTTCTCTCTAAATTTCATTACTCAAAAAATACTCGAAACAAGCACATGTGCTAAATCATTGATATTAGGAGTTTTTCCTTCTGCCATAATGGACATCCTCTCAGACTTCTGCTTGAGTGCTTGATCTAACCTCCTAAAGAATTTTTGCTAAAAAGTCATACTTTTGTCTATTTTTCAAAATTCTTTCTTGTTTATTCTTTTGGTAATCTACCAAAAATAAGTCACTCTTCTTACCTGTTCCTTTTAGGCTATCTTCCATCTTCTGTGTGTTGACGAACAATCTCTAAATATTACTGGTCATGTTCACTTTGATCTGTCCAAATCTATTTATACTCGTCCATTGAGGTCAGGTACCTAAGGGCAGTATGCTTTGAAGCCCTGCTCTTAGCCCATTTCACGATGTCGTTCTCATGAAGGCGCCTGTACTTTATCAGCCGAGCCTTACGTAGTCCGTTTTCTGAACAAATATGTGTGCTTGTATCTATAATATTTTATGTTTCCCAAAAACAGACTCGCTCAGGCTAGACTTACAGCTTTACCTTCTTGTGATGCTTCTCTTCTTCTTCAGCTCTACTGACCAAGCCATTTACTAGAATTATTGTTAACAAAAATGTACTGATCATGTCCTTGTTTCTGAAATGAAAGCCCATGCTTTCTCTCAGATCTGCTTCATTCTTATGCTCCATTTATAAATTCAATTATTTGAGGGATAATTGGGGTTTTGGGGTTTTGGGGTTTTGGGGTTTTGGGGTTTTGGGG